CTAAATATGACTCGTGTTTACTAAAATATATAGCCATATTAAATGCTATCTAGAAGCTTGAAAATTATGCCGAGTCTCCGACAAAGAATGTTTTGACAACACCGTCATGTCAGGCAAATATTTCCAATCTCCTCAGCACTTTAAACCTGTCAAATAGAAAGCGTAGTTGTGTATACCAGTATGGTTTAGTGTTGATCACAACTTGCGAGTACATAAATAACATCAACGATTGCTCAAACTCGGTATCGTAAATTTGTATATAATTTTTTTTAGTTGAGCACATTTTTAATACAGTTTGATTTGGTTATGTAGACATCGAACATGTACATGATGAACGAACATTGTCGTATTTATAATTAAAAGGTTACTTGTATATATAACTTTTCCGCCATATCAAAAATACTGAAATCTGCTAGGCGTTCTGAAGCACCTTGAGCGGTGACGTCACACCTAGGTCCCAGTCTCGTACTACATCCACTTTTTTCTCGCGCTTGCTTCAGAACGACTGGGACTAGGCTGAGTAAGAGCTATTTCGGACAGAAATAGTAAAAGCCCACAGGAGGCTTATATTTCAAGACAGTTTCGAAAGGGGGAGTGTGGACTTATTGAAGGGGTGGGGTTAGCAGAAAGCAGCCAGCTATTGATTTAGCCATAACATACAACTTAACCCTTTAAATAGTAATGCACCTTGATGCACTCTACTTTATTATTTTACTCTGTCTAACGCCAGACGATTTTACTCGTCAAGGGGAGAGTGCTGTCACTCAATGGGTGAATTTAAATCTAATATAGACATCCAGGTATTAGTGGACAGTAAACAAGTGTTTCTTTGTTGTGAAGGCCAGGTTGGAGGGCTAAGGGAAAGAGGGCAAGCCAAGGGGATGGAGGACCTAAAAGAGAGAGATGAGAGGCCCAAGGGGATGGGGGGGGGGGGTTGCTTAAGGAGGGAATCATTAGAGAGTAAGGATGGGTTTACTATGTACTGTACCGGAGCTTACTTTTTTAGAAAAAATAGTATTTAATATGAATTAATTGATCGACTCATTACCACAATTTTGAATCCTTGCAGATCTTCATAAATCTCTGACACACACATGATAATGTACAGATATCTTTTGCTGGTAAAAAACTGAACAGATTGAGCAACACTTCATCAGATAGCTGACATTGGAAATATGGAGTTGAGATATGACCTATTGGAAAAAGTGATAATTAAAGATGCAGTCCCTATGATGGTTCAGAGTTGCATATGAGCTTAAGACTCTGTTAGGCTATAACGCATCATTTTTGTGTATGTGACATAAAAAATAGTTAAAGCATAATCTGTCAATAGTTAAAGCATAATCTGTCAATCACGAAAACGAGGCTCTATGGCAAAGATGACATATTTTCCGGAAGCATGTATTCCGGCCAACAGGCAACATTGTGTTTAGTGACTGACCAATTGTGCAACAATCAGAAATTAACGATTATCAATTATTTATGTCACAATCTACCAGATACCGATTTTATAATAACGTCATAAGATCAACCAACAGAGTAAAGGTGATGTCATTCATGTTGATCTTTTAATGATAATTTCCAACGTAACATGTTACTGCAACCAAAAATTGCTAATTTAAAAACCGTTAATAAATTACACGCTTCACACATTAATTTAACATATCTTGTTAAAACACAATGTATATCAATGTGCAATGCATATAATTTTTAAAGTGCATATTTTCTCAACAATCGGATAATTCTACTGATTCCAATTGTCTACCGATAAGGCAAAAATCGGCCCGATTATCGGTCAATCAGTAATTGTGTTGTAAAGGCCCACACAGACCGGACACTATTCGACAACGCGATGCGAATTTCGGGTTTTCAAAAACAAATAAAACCGTCAACAGCTAAAAATTTTACAAGATATGCAGACCAAATAGCTAAAATTGCTTAAGTGGTTCCAAATATTTGAAAAACATTGAAAAATATTGAAGTTAAATATGTCATTGAAAACTGAAAATTCGCGTCACTTTGCCAAATCGGGTCCGGTCTGTATCGGCCTAATGGTCAAATTCATGCAGACACTGTAACTGCCACATACAGCACAACTTGTCAGTAGTAGTCCGGGGATCAAAATTTACCAACAGATCACCAAATTGCTATAACTGGTAAGTAAGGGGTAATGATGACACTTCTCTAGGCATACATGCCAACCTACAAGAAAGACGCAGCACCAAAGCAACAACGCTAGTGGTCTAAGAGATCATGTCCGCAAAGACATTTCATCCCAGATTGCAGACTTAATTGTTCCAAGATCAGGTTTTACCCCTCTCGATCCCCACCTTACTGTGAACCAGTTAATGTCTAGTTATTGTAATTGTAGATTCCTAGCAACCAGGCTTCCCCCTTGCAGTCTGAGATCCAGAATACATTAGAGATTCAGATTTGATTTCCACTATACTCACAAGCTTAATACATTTGATTGGCTAATTAACCCTTCCTGTACGAATTTTGGATTATTTAAAAAAAAAATATTTTAGTATTAATGATGAATGTTTTAGAGGTTCATTTGCTGTCCACTGAAAAAACTTTTTTTTCATGTTTTCGGCCTATTTTGGAATTGTTGCTCCTGAGCAACAACATGCAGACAGTGATGCAGTAAGGGTAAAGTTAAATCTGTATATGGCAAAATATAATGAAGTTATAAATCCATATATTTTTTAATAGAAAATTAGCATATACATAATAAAAGCTCAAAATAACTAAGTATAAAGCACTGTTATATGTTCCATATTAAAAGTCGAAACCCGACATATTGTCAAAATTTTCAACCAGGTCTTCATCTTTGAGGCCCTGTTAGGGGAGGTACTGATGTCGCCAGTCTGAATTTCAAAACTTGTTATGTCGCGATTTGAGGAGTTGGGTATGTCCCTGTCATTATTTCACGTCATTTAACCATGTATGCTATTTCTTAATAGGGTCCATTAACCAAAAATTCGATTGCATCAACCAGGACTAGCTGTTGACTATTTCACGACTGTGTATCAAAAACAATATATTACGAGGCGAGACATGTAGTGTTAGGAGACATAATTTACTCTACGCTTACTAACGCCTGGAAACTGTACTTTGCCAATGACATTTTTAAACATTTTGTTGACATTGTTGTGGTGTTTTCACACCGACTTATATATAGTATACCGTTCTGTGTTTTTATGATGACCGCTGATCAATGTCATCAATCACAGAAACATTTTCAGCCGGTACGACCATATCCACATGACTATATAGTCGGTAAAGTATGCGAGTAAATGGCGACTGTCAGTCGCGCATCATGTATACTTCCAATCCAAACGCTAATCCTAACCCAAACCCTAATCCT